TTAATCATCACCATTCTAACTGAAGTGAGGTGGTATCTCAATGTGGTTTTGATTTGCATTTCTCTAATGACCAGTGATGATGAGTATTTTTCCATATGTTTATTGGCTGCATAAATGTCTTCTTTTGAAAAGTGTCTGTTCATATCCTTTGCCCACTTCTTGATGGAGTTGTTTTTCTTTCTTGTAAATTTGTTTAAGTTCTCCGTCGATTGTGTATATTAGCCCTTTGTCAGATAGGTAGATTGCAAAATTTTTTCCCATTCTGTTGGTTGCTGGCTCACTCTGATGACAGTTTCTTTTGCCTTTCAGAAGCTCTTAAATTAAGTAGCAAGTCCCTCTGACAGGGCTCATGGATCCAGTGTCTACATACTGTGTTGATACGATAACACCTCAATTTCTGCTCCAACTCTTGTTCTGCAGGGCAAGAAAATTTAATCCTGCTTTTGCATCTGGTCATCAGCTGAGATCAACAGGAATCATAATCTACCACATGCTTTCTGTTGTTGAAAAAGATGGTCTAGTGACATCAAAAACTAAGTCAAATGAAATAAATACTAAAGAAGCTCTGGGCAATTTGCATTTTCACTTTCTCTTTTCTTGAAAGTGAAGCACCTGACTAAGGCTTTCTTCCTCTACACTGTCACCAAGTTGAAAGTCCATATTAGGAATGAAAAAATTGGGTGAATTGATGGGAGTATGATTTTCTTCCTCTCTACATTTTCCCCCAAGAATCGTATGAAATTTCCCCCACCATTAGTTTCCAGAGTGGAATTCTCCTGACCAGCTCAGTTCCCCAGTAGCACCGAGAAATGTCTGCCTACCAGGGGGTTTTCTTATGGTCCTTCTTCAAACCAAGGATTTCACTGCTTACAACTACTTCTTGAAAAAATAAATGAGTCCCCTTTTGGGCTGAATTCTACAGATAAATTTTCCTCTGAAGATACAGAATCTAAGCAATAAATGTTTATATTTCTTTTCTTCAGCTATTTGGTACTATCTGTCTTTAATTTTAACAGCAATAAATTAAAAGATTATGCATATTTACTCAATGCAAGACTTGATACAATTGTAATTCCTAGGATATAATTTTCTAATTAAAGATTATTGATAAATTAGGATTGTAGGAATGAATTATTTCCACTTTATTAGACCTTTTAGGTTGTATTTTATTTCAAGTTTTTGTATCATGATGTGATTAAATAGCCAGCCATAACATAAGCCATAATAGGCATTTTCATGATTAAACAACTAGATATATTTTAAACTATAGAAGCCATTATTTTTCTATTTATAAAACAATTGTATAAGTTGCTTGAACTTTTTCTATATATTTTTATTGTTTAAATAAACAAAAAAGAATTTGAGGCCTTGAAAAATGCTATAATTGAAAAACAGTTCTTTATTCTTTCAATGAAGTGACTATTTAAAAGAGGTCAGTCTACCTAGAGACCTGCCTTTGTGGGTCAGAAAGCTCAGTAGAGTACTTGAGCTACAAATAGATCTGTCATACCCCAAGGACTCCACTTCTTTTGGAAAAACTGAAGTTTTAGTCCTCACTGGATATTATTCCTAACTAAATCATTCCTAGTATTTAGCCATATTTGAATGTTTTCCTCTCTATCTCCAAGAAATAACAAAAGAACAAAGTCTGGAAAGAAAATGCTTTCTGTTTTTTTCTTTATCTTTCTGCCTTATTTCTGTTCTCATCCTATATAAAATCTTCATCTCCTGTTCTTCTGGTTAGTTTCAGTGTGCTGACTTGTATCATAAGGTAGACAGTGTGGAGTTGAAACTTATTTTATACAGTGTTAGAGTCCTGTGTTAGGGGCTGCTGCCCTGGTGTTCTTGATACAGAGAGATGATCAATTGAAAGGAGCAAGAACCAAATGATCAGAACCCTTCTCACTTTCGCTTCTTGTAATCAGCTATATTGAAGTTTCCCACTGTGGTTGTAAAATCAGATCTACCTACTACAACCTATGCAGCCTCTGTCAATTATACAGGCCATATCAGATCAAGGCTTTAAATATCCTTAGTCTACCTGATAGCAGGGTTGTATCTTCCAAAAAGGGGGGGAAAAAAGGTAGCATGTGCTACCTCTGTATCACAGAGAACACAGAAGACAGGTCAGTATCCAACCAGCAGAAAGGAAACTGGAAACAGTGGTCTGAGCCAAGCTCCTCCAGAGAACTATGGTTTCTTCTGAGGGAGAAGAAATCAACAAAGGGATAATCAAATATTAAAACAAAGAGATGAATAAATGATGAAGAAAGGGCTAGTGTGAACATTAAGAAGACATGTTAATGCTGGATATGGTGACTCATGCCTGTAATCCCAGGAGGCCAAGGCAAGCAGATCACTTGAGGTCAGGAATCCAAGACTGGCCAACATGGTGAAACCCCATCTCTACTAAAAATATAAAAATTAGACAGGTGTGGTGGCAGGCACCTGTAATTCCAGCTACTCAGGTGACAGAGGCACCCAAGAATCTCTCTCCACCCGGGAGGTGGAGGTTGCAGTGATCTGAAATCATGCCACTGCACTGCCAGCATGGGCAACAGAGTGAGACTCTGTCTCAAAACAAAACAAATTAACAAAAAAATAGAACAAACAAAAAACGTGTTAAGTCTTTCAGGGAAATGGAATAGTGTGGCATACAGCTTGAATAAGATGTTGATATAAAATGTTATGTTCTTTAAATCTATTTATTTCCCTAAAAAATAATGTGGATATGTTTATAAATGCTTTGTATGCATAGTAAGATTGAAATTGGGGAAAATTTGAGGATAAAGCTTGAAAAACCAAGACATTTTTACATCTAAAAGATAAAATGTTAAATTAGATGTTTAAACTTATTTTCTTGTCATTAAATTAACTCTTATTTTTTATTAAAATCATGGAAAGATCATGTCAAAAAAGAGAGAACAACATTTTTCTACACTAGATATCATAAATTATTTTCATTTCAAACCTAGAAGATATATAAATGTTGCCTTGGATGAGTTACCAAATCTTTTAAGATTTCACTTCTCAATAAGAAAGATAAAGTTAACATCACAAATTGTTATACTTGCTTCATAAGACTATTGTATGTGTCGGTGACAATAAAAGTCTTAAAACGTTTACCGATTTTAAAGAACTGTAAATTGTAAAGCCTAATTAATTGTAGTTTTTCTTGAATGTTATATAAACTACTAGCGAAAATATTTGTTACTATTAGCCTAATACTAAATTCATTTTTTCTTGCTAAAAGAAGTGATGAGAGGAATTTGAACATTTTATTTGGCAGATTGTAATACATTTTATAGATTTTTGGGGATTTATACCACTTACACAAACTACTCAAAGAAATTACCAGAAAGAAAACTGTCATCTTTCTAGTGAAGCTTTTTAATTTGATTGCCTTATCTCTTTCTAGAAGATTTATTATAGCATTTATATGCATGAGTGTTATAAAACAATATTACAGTTCTCTAGCCAATTTAGGTCACAAAATCCCATTAACAACTAAAATATGTAGACACAAAAAACATTCACTGTGTTAATTACATGTACATTTTTATTTACAGCCTCTTTTATAAAAATTTAAGCAAAAGTTCAATTAATCATTAAGAAAAGAAGTGTGGCAGTGTAGGTTAAAATCTAGATTTTAAAAGCCTTTACATTTAAGTCAATATATAATAATATATTATTTGACATCCAGAAACAACTGCCAAATCAAAATTACTTTCTTAAACAGCAGTGTTTAGAACTCAAATTTCTGTCTGCTATAGAAATCTTGTTGAATTAAAAGCTCCAATTAGTGGGATAATGTTATATTAATTTACTATATTAGTAATTTAACAAATAATTACTGAATATCTACTGTATTCTAAACACAAAAATGGCATGCTATGATTTCTGCCCTTGAGGTTAAAACATTGGGTAGATACTGGCATTCACATGCAGACTGCAGTAAGACAGACTTAGTCCTCTAATGGTAGTCCCAAGAAGAGAGAGTGACCAATATTGCTATAGGGGCCACAGCCATTCCTGCAGAGGTGACAGTTAGTCAAAGTATTGTCTAGGAAAATGGAATATATATTCAAAGTCACTGAAGCATGAAAGCTCATACGAAATGTGTTTGGAAAAACACAGGTAGTTCAGTGTAGTTGCAGGATAGAATTATTGATGTGAGTAAAATATATGGCTAAGAAATGTATTTATTCAAACAATGAGAAACCAATTAATGGACCAGAAATAAGAGGGATATGACCAGAATATCCTTTTGGCAGCAGAGTTTTATTCACTTATATAATGTGATAGCAATGTTCTGAAAAGACCAAAAGGGTAGACACTGAGAGCCCAGGAATTTGAGGAATGCAGTGAGCCATGATTGTACCACTGCACTCCCGCCTGAACCACAGAGAAAGACCCCGTCTCTTAAAAAAAATGATAATAATTAGTAAAAGAATTTACATAGTCTTAGAAAATCATTATTATGGAATCTGCAAATTTCAAAAGTTGTTGAGGTCTAAAGGATATAAAGAAATTTTTTAAATAAAAATAATATAACAGCAACTAGTTTATGTTAGCTTTAAGGAAAACTACTTTGATTTTAAAATCAAGGAAATACAGAAATATTTCCTCCAATACTAGCATGTTTATTTTCCTAATTAACTTTAAATTTTTATGTTATCACTTTAAATAGATCATTCATTTCACATACTACATGCTTTTAAAGTTCAAATAATTGTTTTCTCAAACTAACAAAATTTAGCTAATAATAGATATAATAGAGATAACAAGTTAATGGCAAAATAAAGGCTTTAGTGAGTACAGAACTCATTAAAATTATCCAGAAGAATGCCTGGATTTTTTTTTTTTTAACTTGTTGAAACTAGTGGTATAGCCAAACCATTGAAGAGTAACAATTAGCAACCATTTTACTTAGCTAGAGATTATCAATGAATGGATACTTCTCTTTGTAAATGACTACCTTCTCCACTGTGTCTGCATAGCCTAGAAGCAGATGCCAAGGAGTCAGGCAATCAAACTGAAGAGGAGAATGAAAAAGAACCGAGGCTGAAAGAGAGAATGAAGGTGTGAAAAGATAGTTAAATCCTAAGTAAAGATCAAATGAAAACAAGATACCTTTTTCCCTTTGCCCTCACCCATTTTAGGAGTGTGAAGATTTAAAAAGTTTGAAACACCCAGCTACCAGTTGAGTGTTTAAAAAAAAAAATCCTTATACGTTCATGATAATATTATATTAACATGAGTATTCAATGTTGATCCTTTCCATACATGGAAATCACATGCTTTTCTATGGCAAAGAGTAAATATACAAATCAATTAAAGAGCAGGAATTAGATGGTTCTTATAGACAAGAGTAGTGTTCTCTTGTCAGTCATCCTAAGCTTCATCATCCTCAACATCACTTATATGATTTATGGTTTAGACATTTTTTATATTAATATATTTATTCATGTGCCTCTCCTTATCAGAAATGTCCTTTTATTTCTTTTGTTTAATGTACAATTTCAGCTAATATATTCTCTAGTCAATTAACATTTCACATTTGGCAGTATTTTTATGTATATATCTTATTCCCTCAATTAGATGTTGAAACCAAGAAATTAATTTTAGACATTTTAGTCTCACCCAATTTCTAACACAGTGCTTTATGTAAATTTATGATTAGTAGCTGTAGTTTGAATAAATAATCACTCTTACCCCAAGCCTTGTTGAGTTTTATGATGTTAGAACATGTTGGAAGTTACTGATAAAAATGAAAAATATGCAAATTTTTTAAGAAAAACTTACTGAATATTTACTTCTTGTCAACCTTATGCAAGACTCTGGGGACATAATTTTGCACCAAAATGAAAAGTGTCCTATGTTCTAAAAGATCAGAAAGATGTTAAATAATCACACTTCTTAATATTTAATAAGGTTGCTGAAGAAAAGAAACAATGTCTCAAGGAGTTTTAATTTCTAGATTCTTTAGTGAAGGAAAATATTCCTTTAAAACCAAGGTTTTTTTCTTATTATATAATAAATACATTTCTCAAAAAATGTATTTTCATCCAAATGAGGGATCCACACTTCATTCATGAGGGATCTATGAACTAGATAAACCTAGCAGGCAGAAACCCACTGTATTTCTGGCTTTTATTGTTACTGCTTTTTTTTTAACCGAATTCATTCATTATTTTTCATTGATAAAAAATGAATATAATTATCATGTACATGATATTTTAAAATATATATACATTGTGGAATGGCTAAATTGAACTAATTAACACATGCATTACCTCACATGCTTATCATTTTACAGTCTTAGCAATTTTCAAGTATACAATATGCTGTTATTAACTATAGTCACCGTGTTGTACAATAGACTCTTGAACTTACTTCTCCTATCTAATTGAAATTTTATAACCTTTGACAAACATCTCTCTATCTCCACACCTCCACTCCAGCCCCTGGTAACTACTATTTACTCTCCTTTACTCTTTATGAGTTCAGTTTTTTTATAATAGCTCTTCATACTGGTAAGAACATGTGATATTTTTTCTCTCTGTTTGGCTTAATTTGCTTAGCACAATATCCTCCTGAGTTCATCCATGATGTGGCAAATTACAGGATTCCCGTGTTTTTAAGGCTGAATAGTTTTTCTTAATCCATTTATCCATTGCTAGACACTTAAGTTTACTCCATATCTTGGCTATTATGAATGATGCCGCAATAAACATGGGAGTGCAGATATCTCTTTGACATACTGATTTCACTTCCTTTGATTATATATTTAGTAGTGGGATGAGTAAATCATAGGTAGTTTTTTTTTTTTAATTTTTTAGGAACTACCATACCATTTTCCATAGTGGCTGTACTAATTTAAACTCCCACCATCTGCGTACAAAGGTTCCCTATTTTTTTTTTCATATCTTCCCTAACATTTATTTTTCATCTGTTTTTATAATAGCCATTCTAATGGGGGACAGGTGATACCTCATTGTGAGTTTCACTAGCACTTCTCTGGTAATGAGTGATGCTGAGCATTTTTTTATATATACCTGTTGGCCATTTTAGATCTTCTATTGAGAAATGTTTATTCCTGTCCTTTGCCCATTTTAATTGGGTCATTTATTTCCATGCTAATAAGTTGTTTGAGTTCCTTAGATATTCAGAATATTAACTTATCAGGTACATGGTTGCAATTTTTTCTACCATATAGGCTATCTTTCTGTCTCAATTATTTTTCTTGCTATTTAGAGCTTTCTAATTTGACATAATCCCATTTGTCTATTTTTGCTTTTCTTTTCTATGCTTTTGGGGTCTTAATCACCCCCAAAAATCATTGCCCAGACCAGTGTTACAGAGATTGTCCCCATGCTTATGGCTTTCAAAGGGGATCCTAAAACACTTTCTCTGCTTGCTTTTCTGTGTTTGAATACTGCCCAGGATATACTCAGTTCCAATATCATAGATGAGCCTACACAGAATTCTTAGTTCAGCTAAGGAAAGTCATGCTCAACCAAGGAACAGAACAACCTGCCTTTTAAGTTAGAAGTGTCCAACAATTACTAATTTCTCTCTTAGTCATCTCATCTACACTAAAAAAAAAAAAATGTCAAAGACAGAGCTAATGATTTTCCAATGTTCTAGTCACCAAAGCTTCTTGTAAATGTTTATGTTAAAAAAAAAGTCACTGTGGCTAATCATCTCATTTAAAAGTCAGATCAAATACTTGGACATTCACATATATAGGCTGAAGTATATTGGCAAGGAATTGACATTCATAGTTCCCCAAAGATCTTTTGCTTTGCTTGGCTGACTCTGCAACTCCAATAAAGTGCAGCCAGACTCCAGTAAAAGAAATAAAGTGAATATTTTTCCTCCTAGTACCTTTGCTGCCGTTTGCATTTCACCACTCGACTTATAGAGATGAAATCTAATACTTGGCAGGCAGGCACTGCTTATACAAATGAAAGATAAATTTTTCTTCCAGATAGGACAGATCAGCGAGACTCATAAAATATTAATGATGAAAGCTCTAGGAATTATATATATCCCTGACCATAGGTTTCTCTTGACAGTGAAGAACTGTCAGTTTAATGCATTTTTTTTCTGCAAGATTCCCATCAAGAATTATATGAAGGGAAAATAATACATGATTTAAGATTCAAATGAGCATAGATTTGAGGGAAAGGTAATCTTTCTGTCTTTCATTTTCTTTCATGTTTTGTGTTCCGAATCAGCAATGAGTGATGTAGTGTGGTCGACTTGATTCTTGAAGCTGTTCATGTGCTCATGAAGGAAACTGCTTTTATGAGAATAATACAGGAAGTATGAATTTCTTATTATTTAATTTAACATACAATTTAGCAATAACTGATATTTATATAATTGAAAAAATTCATTTATCTCAAAATTAGAAATTTATTGAACATGTATTCAAAAATATATATTAATGAAGACCTTCACTTTCACGTGTCAGATTTTGTTATCTTCCCATAACCATTACAAGCCAACAATAATTTGTAGGTTACTATCTCTGTGGAATGTGTGGTCACTTACCATATTTATTAAAAATAAAAATGTTGGGCCCTCTTTTTGAGGCAGCAGATAAATTATCATTAATCTGAATTTTTTTCATCATGTATTTTATTTTATACAGAAACAAAGTTTATATTTATAAAATCTAAAAATGAGAGAAATATATAATTATCTTATGGCAACTTGATTTGTTATATTATATTGCATACATTTAGAAATATTTATTTAGGTATCTATAAGATATTTGAATATTAGAAATTTCTTGAAAATAACAAAATACTTCCATTCACCAATTTATAGAAAATTCTATATGAATTATATCTCCAATTGGTTTATACACTCTGAAATATTTTATACTAGCACAATTATTTGCAACGTGATTTAAAATATTTTCATCATGCTATAGAGCAGTAGTACAAAAAACTAACCATTTGAACAATAATGCCTCAGAAAAGAGACAGTCACAAAAAATGGATGCAAAATCAACTAAATTATATCTATTATAATTTTATTCACATTGGAGACACCACTTAATTTGTTTAATATTAATAATCAGAAAAATAAAATATTCTTTTTCATTCATACTCTTTTTCTACCTAAATAGAACACATTCTTATAATATTTATTTTAATTTCTGATAAAATATTTACCAAAAGATAATATATATAATTTAATTTAACCAGAGGAAATTATCTTTGATTAATTACTTTTTATTTAACTGAATATCTGGTTTAATATATATCTCTCTTCTCGGGTACATAATATTTGTCTTCAGTGATTATAAGAAATTATCAGCCAAATATAACCTTCATAAACTACTAATGGGATTCTAAGGTGCTGTGCCTTCAGTGTGTTAAAGTTTCTGGTTGGTGATACTCATACAAAGATAAATCAGCAATTCCATTTTGTTTACCAGTCTTTTAGAAAACTTATGAACTCGTTGTAAAAAATCAGTTGTTGTTAAAATGTATTCTGAATTATATTTAAAGGCACATGACTAGTAAGTGGAGTCAAAAGACCTGGTACAAGACTTCTGGTCATGAACATTGTTATAATAGTCTCAAAACCAGTGCAGCTTTTCCTGATTGTCTGATCATCTGATGATCACCTGTGATGTTTAGCTACTCTTCGTCGATGTGTAAAACATGTAAGATTGAAAATATAAACTCTATAAACCAAACACCTTGCTGTGACCAAATACGCAATGCTTGCCTTGAATCCAATCCATTATTACTACAGTTTTCTGAATAGCAAATTTCTTGGGATCTACATTTGGGTCTCCTTAAATTCTGCTTTCTTTCTGCCCCATGCCAAGGACTGAAATCTGGTTTTACATCCTAGCCTCTGCGTTCTGTGATATAACTAATTGGCTGTGAAGATAACTTCATGTTAAAAAATGAGTTTTTGTGTCAAGAGAATCGCAAAATATCTACTACTGTTTCAAAATGTCAGTCTCAATTGCAACTATTCTTGTTGTCTGTGACAACTACACAAGAAGGCAAAGGAAAAATGTGGAAATCCCAGTGGAGGTGTTGTTGACCAGAGAAGCTGACCACGGCACATTTAAGTAGGGAGAGAAATGCTAATGAAGATATCAGGAGAGCTGAAGGAATCTGTGCCTCAAGAACATATAAATTTTCACAGTTGACTCTTGTCTGAAAAGATAAATGTTTACATAGCATCAAACTTCAAAAACAGCGTAATTGGTTCTACTCAGAGGTACTTAAATAGCCCAGAGTAGCACTGAATTTTTAAAAATATAAATATATGTTTATGTATAGTGGGGAAAAGTAATGTAAAATTAGAATATATTTATTTTCTCAAATTACCTTTGATTAAAGAAAATACCCATAATTTTAAAGGCATTTTCTCTTTAGAGAATTTTCTTTACGTATTTATTGTTTTATACCTGCACAGTATTTTTCTGAATACCCTTGTTAACACAGTCTGGCAGACATTCAATAGCAAACTGTGTTCCAGGCAATGAATTTATATTGTTGTTGCAGGAACAATCTCTTGAATGTTGTAACCCTTTATATATGATGGAAAAATCAATAACATGAATAAGTGTGTAACAAACTAGCCTGTGTACTTTTTTGGTGAAGTGAAGCTCAGTAATATGGACTGAAGTACTTTCTTAAGGAAAATAACCCTATGCTTAAGTGGAATATTATAAAGTATACTTATTTACTAACACAGACATCAATAGTAATATTAAAAATATACTTATATATGATCTTTATGTTATATTATATATAATCCAAATATTTAATTTGATACTTTTAATACGAAGGTATGTATATTCTTTTGATATGGATATACAGACAAATAATAAAATATTTAGTCTATATTTTCTATCAATTTAGAAATATTTTATAAATGTAATCATAAGGCAGTTAGGTGGAAAAATAGAAAATTATTATATACAATACTTTTTATTTTACTTTTATCAGTAAGAAACCAATGGGTTGTGTTAATATTAGACTTTCTTTTTTTCCAGGGTATCAACGGTTTCTACACAGCACAGATTATGACAGCTTCTTTCTTAAGGTGAGATTAGATGTCACTCATGGTAGTATTCAAAGGGGATACTCTTTTTGTTAATGCATTATCAAAAACATTTCTTAGGTAAGATTATCCTGGAGTAGCTACAAATGCCTAAATTGAAAGTATTTTCTCATCAATTTTATGTACATAATTCTGTTTGTTCAATAGTATTGCTTTCATGATAAACTCTAAACAGTATTTCTTTAATATTTCTGAGTACAAGCCATGTAACTTGATACTTTGTTTAAAACTTGGAAATGTGTTAACCATATAAGAAAATAAAGTTAGGGAACAACAACAAAACATTCTAATACAATAAATACAATTAAGGCATCTCTGTGAGAGTGCACACACTCATGCAGATACACACACACACACAGACACACATGTACAGAGGAGGATAATTAATATTGTAACTTTCTCCTAAAATACAAGTACATTAGACTGTCTCAATTTTCAAGAGCCCTCCAGATTCTTATGTTAATGACTAGTTTTGCTCTATCTTCTTTATTATTATGAATGAGCAATTTTTATTATTGTATTATGTTAGTTATATAAGATTTATTCACACATTTATACTTTTTTCCACTATTTCTTATCAGACTTTACACCTTTCTAACTGCTAAAAGCATATACTTTATCATTTCCTTTAGTAAGGAATTGTCAACTTTTCTTTGTCTGAAAGTATTTTTATTTTACTTTTACTCTTGAAAAATAACTTCCCCCAATGTGAATCTAGATTGTCAGTGATTTTGCTGGCAACACTGAAGACTTTATTATATTGCTTCCTGGATTCCATTTATTAATGAAAACTCAATTGTCTATTTAGTTGTTACACCATTCTGGGCAATTTGCATTTCTTCTTGCTACTTTTAGAGTCTTCTCTTCATCTTCAGTGATCTGAAACTGGTTGTAGTATGAATTGATATACAATGTATCCTACTTTAAATTTGCTGGCCTTCTTGAGAGTAACAACAGATATTTTCCAGCAATTCTGGAACTCCTCAGTCAGTATCTCCTTTAATGTAATCTCTTCCATTTCTTTATTTTCCATACCTCTTCCTATTTCCACATCATTTCATTATTACTTTGAATCTATATCCAGTTCACTGATTTTATCTGCATTTCTGACATACTGTAAATTAATATATTCATATTCTAATTTTTATTAGTATTTTTTTCAATATTATTTTAGGTTCGTGAAGCACACGTGCAGGTCTGTGACATGGGTGAACTGTGTGTCACCGTTGTTTGGTATACAAATGATCATGTTCATTCAGGAAGTAAGCATAGTACCCAATTAGTAGTTTTTCAATCCTCACTCCTTACCTCCCAACCCCCGTACTCTAGTAGTCCTTGTTGTCTGTTGTTCATATCTTTGTGTCCATGTGTACTCAGTGTTTAGCCCCAAATTATAACTAAAAACACAGAGTATTTGGTTTTCGGTGTCTGTGTTAGTTCACTTAGGATAATGGCCTCTAGCAGCATCCATGTTGCTGCAAAGGACATGATTTTGTTCTTCTTTATGGCTACATAGTATTCCACTGGTGTTAAGAAATTCTGTTTGAATCATTCAAAAATTTAGTCATCTGTTTTTTCTTGTTCTTATGTTCAGTCCAAGCCTCTATTTTATTTCTGATTCTATTTACACTTGGTGTTGTTCATGCTCAGTTTCACTCATGGAATCTTATTTTCCATGTGAGTTTGTTTTTGCTGTTTGTTTTAACTATGATTGTACACACATAAAATGTTATTTATGAAAATTCTTTGAGGTGAGACTTGAAGTTCTACTGTTAAAAGTTTTGCTTCTGCCAGTCACCATGGGGTAATATCAACCTAAGACAAATTTATACTAAAGGCTTCACTTTAGGTTTCTGAGCAAACAAATAGTATGAATTCATTCACATCTCAGGTCTTGAATAAGGATTAATTTATTTTCATAAGTTCTTAGTTTTGGTTTTATTTTCTCCAGGCAGCACTAAGGAATAAATATTACTTTTCAGATCCTTTTTCCCCATAAGTTTTGTTTCTTATTTTATGAGAGAGAGCCTTTTCTATTATAGCTTTCACTATGGGTGGGCCATAAGGTTTACCTCCTGCACTCTGTTCAACACAAAGCAGTCACAATGTACTCTCAAACACTAAGGTTTGGTAGGAATTTTCACACAGAAAGCTGGCTTTGGTGATTACTTTATCTCTCAGGATTTCTGCTTTTATTTTTAATCTTAGTATTTGCAGAATTTTTTCTTTCATGAAAGATGAAAGATTCTTATACATATGTATGTGTGTATAAGTAATTTTATTTTAATTGTTTTTCATCAGTAACTACTCTTGCTAGACAGATCCAATACACAGGCCTAAAGCAGAAAACTAGATGTTTTTGATTTCTAAAGATGTTAATATTTGATTCTTTGCATTTTGTAAATAGTAATAAAGAAAAAATTATGGTGATTTCTTTTTATAAACAACTTCTATGCCCAGAATGAAGAAATGTTGCAGAAAAACAGTACAGCAGTTCTTAAACATTTTGCTTTCAGAATATCAGCTTGTTAAGAATTATTAAGGGCTCCAATGAGCTTTTTTTTGGAAATTTTCATCTATTAATATTTGCTGTATTGGAAACTAAGATAGAAATTTAAAAATAGTTATTTTCTTTACTACTAACAGTAAACCCATTACTTGTAACAGAAATAGAATATTTTATGAAAATAACTACATTTTTTAAACAAAAAAAAATTAATGAGAAGTATAGCACTGCTTTGTACTTTAGCTAATCTTCTTAATGTATGACTCAATAGAAAACTCAGTAGAAGACTGCAGGAGTGTCATACCTGCTTCTGTGTCTTCTCTGTTTTGATATCAAACATCATGCAGCCTTTGAAAAACTTCACTGTGAATGGTGACAGAATGAGAATTAAGACAAATAATATCTTAGTATCATTGTGGAAGTAGTTTTAATATTGCAGCTCTGGAAAATTGCTTGAAACCCCCAGGAGACCCCAAATCACACTTTAAAAACTACTGACTTAATAGTTTACAACATTTTGTCACTTGAATCTATAGGTTGCCTGGGTAATTCTGTTGAACCTGGTAATTCAATCTGGGCTGGACTTGACTCATCTCACATCGCTTACTAATGTATTTCTAGTCAGCTATTGGGTGGTCTAGAGGCTGGCCACTCTAGAATAATCTTGGCTAAGATGATTAGGACCTCAATCCATATGAACTCTGTACCTCTACCAAACATGCCTTGGTCTGTTCCCATGGCAGTTAGGAAAGGGTTCCACAAGGAAGAGTTGAAGTATGAAATGATTCCTGAGTCCTAGGCTTAAAATTGTAGGCTGTCAGTTCCACCGCATTCTTTTGGTGCAAACATATGAAAAAGTCAGTTCAAACTCGTGTGTGGGAAACAGGTTTCACCTCTTGATGAGACAAGTTACAAAGTTATACCAGAAATGTGGTACATACAGAAGCAGGAATGATACAAGGCATTTTGTCAATCAATCTTCCACAGCATCTTAGATTCTCAAGACAAAAACAAGATAAAAAGTTTTCTTTTCTCATCTTCCAATGATTTAACTCCACTGTGGATACTATAGAAATGTGTAGAGACATGTTAAGAAGTAATACTGCTGTCGCCTAAAATTCACTAGTTTGACTATACACTGTAAATGCTCAGGTATAACCATAACATGGGATATACCAGGCCCTGAGAGACAAGTTCACACTAATAAAATCCATGATACATTGATACTGATGACAATATTCACATTACTATTTTTAACTCATAATAAAAAACAAAAATATTACTTGAGATGAAATTTTGTGTGGGCATAATCAGCAAAATCTCTCACTATAGTCAAGTAACACCAAGCATGTTATGAATATGCTGTCATTAATTAACTTTACAGAGACCAGAAAGAGACAAAATACATATTTTGGGCACATTTCTTATTTATACATATACAAATATAGAAATCAGATTGTTGTTGTTCTCTGATTATCCAAAGAGACAATTGGAGATTAGATCAATAAAAATTTAATAACATCAAGCTAAAAAAGCTCTATCTGATTATAAAAATTGGGGGGTTTTGTTGTTGTGTTTTCTTTTTCTAACAGAATGAAAAATGCTTAACACATGTATACTACATTTCTCTCCACCTCAAAGATAATCATACCATTAAGAGGAGAGATACCAAAATTGTATAGCATGGCTCCCTTTCTTCTGGATCAGATGTTTCATATTCCTCAAATGTCTAGAGTCATGCAGGTAATGTAAATAAATCACATAGTCCAGCAGTAAAATGTCAAGGACTTGTGGAGAGAGGAGTGTAGACAACTAGGATAAGCCTTCCCGATATAAACAGTATTAGCTGTTACTTAGGTCCAGCCAATCGCTGCATTTTAGGAATGAGAATCTGTTATTACTATATGTTTTCATTTTAAAAACAAAAGAAGGTTGTCTCAGCAAGATGTCTGACTAGACACAGCCAGGAGGAACATCTGCTACCAAGTGACTAGGACATAGGGAAAACTGGCGCACTATGAGCACATCTTCAGAGGGAAGGCATTGAGGGTGGACAGAGGGAGGACACAGACCCTGGGCTGAAGGAGGAGGAGGCTAGGAAACCCAAATGGGGCTACCATGTACCAGAATATGTGTGTGCATGCATCCACATCCAGTGTGGCTGGCAACCACAAACTGACCAGCATCCCGGTCCGACCAATGAACATGTAACCCACCATGCTGCTACTGGCATGTGCAAATAAACATGGATTTTTCTACCGTCACTCAAACTAAGCACTTTGACTGGCACGATCGATTGTATTGTTATGGACTATGGACTGCAGTCAAGAAACTGCGCAGATGCATTCAGTACCACAGATTCCTAACCTTGAGGGGCTGCAGAACAAATCTGTGTGCCTGGTATCATTTCCTCAACATTAGAGCACAAAACTCCAGAGTGCTGAATGGAGTCTTAGCCTCCTAAAATCTTCCAGAA